TGACCTCTCAAGATCGTAAGTAATTTTATACATTGTACTTCAATTTACTCAATTTTTCAAATTTTACAACAAAGTATAATGTTTGATGTTTTGTTACAGATGCTTTACAGCATCAACTTTTGGGGAAAATCCAATTGTGGCTTCAAAGCCAAGAATGTAAGAATCCTTCATTATATCGAATTTAAGATTCTATTTTGCTTTTAAATAAATTCTAATGTTTTATGTTTTGTTATAGATTCTCAGCAATTTCCAGTTCCTCTAAGAATATTACGTAGCTTCAAAAGCTAAAAATGTAAGTACTTTAGTTTGTTGTACTTGAATTCGATTCTCTATATTTTCTATTGAAGTTGAATGTAAAATTATAATTATAAAATAAAAACGCTTCAAATTATTAGTCCTAGTTTTTATTATTGTTAAAATTTAAATTTTCATAAATAACACTGTGTCTTTAGAAACAAAATTCGGTGTTCACTTCTACCATGGGATTTAATGGTGTCTGCTTGACGAAATTCTTCACGATAATTTTCCCTGCTCCAGTGCAGCATCGGCGATAATAGCGTTCTTCACGTCTATCTTGTGAGTCGCATGCATTTATGTTCCTCCGGTCACTCAATCATGCCGTAGGATGAAAGGTCCGAATCGACACGGGTGATTGGTTGTATACGTAGAATTTTTGATGAGCATAGTGATCTCGGGTATTTTTTATACCCGTGAGTAGTAACATTTTTTTTATGTATTAAATCAGGATAGGGCTTCTTGCACATCGCGATTTCAACAATTAGTTTTGAATATATACAGTTATAGTAATCACTTGTAAAAGCAAAATATATTCAATATAAATGTTTGCAAGAGCAAAATATTCATGTAAATATCCATATTAATAGATAAATTATAAATAATTATTATTAAAATGATTTCGTTTGAGCATTTCGTAGTACTTTGTTTCTATGAAAGATATAGTTATTACTTATTGATATATTGGTAATATATTTTGTTATAATAATAATATAATAATTTTATTATAAAAATATAACAATTAATAATTGTTACAATACTTAATAATTTCAAACTTTATCTTTCGTTTTATAATAGTATTAAATGATTTAATTAATTGAATTTTATAATTATGAACTTCAATACAATTTTATTATGTATAATAGATAAGAATTCTTTCCATACGTGAAATTTTTTGTGCAAGAAGATACTTCGCGACAGGCAGATTTTTTA